ACAAAAATATAAGAGTTGCCAACTACATTCTAATCTTACGCATGTGCCGCCGGTAGAACTCACATCATTTCTGAGTCATTGGTTTTTCGCTCAGTCGGGGGTAGATATCATGGGACCATTTCCACTAGCTACTGGGCAACGAAAATTCATCATCTTAGCTGTCGACTACTTCACCAAATGGGTAGAAGCGGAACCGCTCGCCAAGATCACTGAAGTAAATACCAAACAATTTGTTTGGAAAAATATCATCTATCGCTTTGGGCTATCGACAAAGATTATCACTGATAATGTGACTCATTTCACTAGAAGGGTCTTCACATCATTCTGCAAGGATCTTCACATTCAGTTGGTTCACACTGCCGTGGCACATCTCTAAACAAATGGGCAGACATCGGTGACAAATTGAACAGTGCTTAAGGGGTTGAAAACTTGTCTTGAGAAGGCTGGGAAGTAGTGGGTAGAAGAGCTACACAACATCCTTTGGGTCTATCACACAACCGTGCGTACTCCAACCGAGGAAACTCCATATAACTTGTGTTTTGACACTGAGACTGTTATCCCGGTCGATATCAGAGTTCCAAACCCGTGAATTAAGGCTTTCGATTCAGATAACAACGAGGAAAAGCTTCGACAATATTTGGATCTCCCCCCAGAAACAAACGATGTAGCCCATCTCAGAGCTGCTTCCTACCGCCAAAGAGTTGCTCGCCACTTTAATCAGAGAGTCAAACCTCGACATATCTCCGTCGGTGACCTGGTCTTGCGTATTATTGAAGCCGTCGGTCATGGTCCCCAATGCAACAAAATATCACCTCTTTGGGAAGACCCATATATTGTGGCTGCCATGATAAAACCTGAAACTTTCAAGCTCAAGGGTTCAGATGAGAAAATCTTGCCTCGGACTTGGAATGCAGAAAATTCTCGCAAGTACTACCAGTAACACCCTAGTCGTGCAGTCCACATATGTTATTACATCACAACTCATGCATAATCAATGTATCTTAAATATTATTCACTTATTTTCCTTTACATAAAGGATATCTTTAGAAAGTGTAATGGCTCATCCACGACTCACTTCATGCTCTCGACCCGAGAAATACACAACTTCCGTTATTTCTTAGTCAGAGCACAATCAATCACAGGGGGATTTGATCTAACCTCTTCCATATGGGTTAACATCGTGGGGTTTTACTCCGATAAACAACTCTGGATAGGTTAACAGTCCTTGGTGGGCTACACCTAACCCCTTCCACACAGATTTGTAAGTGAGCAATGCTCCGACAAACAACCTCAGATGGGTTAATAAGTCCTCGGTGACTTCCATTGGCTCTTCTTATGTAGGTTAACATCATCAATTAATACTTTGATTTATAGCCTCAGAAAAGTTAAAGGTCGCTGGCGATTTATCCCCATGCTAACTTTGTTACATACTAGAATTTCTAAATGATATTGGATATCCACTGTGACATTAAAAAAAAAAACCCCTGAATCCTTCTTCAGTGAACCATTTTTACCACTCCTCAGCATCAAGTACACAATCCGCGATGCTTCACCGCCATCCTTTGCCTCGCCGCAACACATCGCCGCGACGTACTGCCACAATGCATCGCGTTGCCCCGACGCCTTGCCGTGACGCACCGCTGTAACTCGTCGCAGTGGCACACCATAGCAACATAACGTTGCGACGTGAGACATGTCGTCGTGACGCACCACTGCAACGCGTCGTCGCGACGCACCGCTGCAACGCATTGTCTCTCCTCGACGCACTGCCGCAACGCGTTGCCGCGACGCACCGACGCAACACGTTTCCTAACCGCGACGCTGCGCCGCGACGCACCGCAGAGACGCACCGCCGCGACGCGTCGTCGCAACTCTGCACCGCAACGCTTCATCGCAACGCTTCGCCGCAACACTTTGCCGCAACGCTTCGCCGCAACTCTTCGCCGCAACACTTCGCCTTATTCTTATAAAAATTTCCAAAGATAATGAAATTTAGTTTATCTATTCATTATATATCGATATTTTTTAATTATATTTTTATATGTGAAAAAAATATAATTCCCAAAAATACCCAAAAATTATTTACCAATGATTAGCCCATTTTTATCAAAATACATTATAAAAAAACTAATAAATAATAATAGTTTAAATTAATTTCAACTTATTTTAGTGTACAAACATTGAATATGATTATCATAAACATTCTTAACGTTAACCATAAACGGATTCATCAACTGCCAGTATTGATGATAACCTCATTAAGTTATATTTGAGGGGCATCTACATGCAACGACATATTCGTGTCTATTTATATGTCTAGCACTTAAAATATTCATATTTACACACATAATGACTTTACTTTCAAATATTTAAATTATATAAAAATATTTTACTAAGACTTGATTTTTCAAAATAAAATATATTTTTTTCATACGTATATTTATGATACCAATGTGATGTAAATTTAAATGATAAATATAAAAAGTTAGATATTAGATATGTTGATACGCCACGACAAATTTTCATCATCCGGCACGAATCTCGGTGCAATTTTTTGAACAAGATAAATTCAAATTTCGATTAAGAGTCATCCGGAGCTCCGATTTCAGTAAACTTATAGTCAAACTGATCGGCTCGATGAGACGGACCTAATGATATAAAAGTTAGTCCAATCCGAGTCAAATCAAGCCCAGATCAAGTTATTAAACCATTACTGGAGGATTTCCGGAGGCATTTGAAAGGTCAAAATAATATCAAATCTAGCGAGTTTATAGTCGAATCGAGCGTCTCAAAAAGACGAATCCAACGAGTCCAAAATTGCTCAATTACGACATTATTAAGGCACTCAAATGTCCATCAAACGTTATCTGATCAAAGGAAGCTCTCCGGATCGTCCGATCAAAATGGTTCATATTCCTGCATTAATTGCACTCAAAACACTATAAATAGAG